CTGTACCGAATTCTTTACGAAATGAACCAAGTTTGATAGAGAAAATCCAAGTTAAAGTTTATGCAAATGAAGACGAATCTATATCAGATATAAAACCTCCTTCATGGTCATGATTTCTATTGTGTTTTCCTCATGAATTATTAATGAGTTTTTTAAACAGTATATCAAACGCTCTTGAATCATACCTTGAAGTTTAGACCACTTTTCAGTCTTTCCTTCGCCTATGCCGTGTGCTTTCCAGCAAGTCAGCCCATCCTCGCTATAACTGAAATTATTCAGCGTGCTGATTCCCTCTAGTTTACCAGTGTTGACAGTAGTCACAGAACTTGCATCTACTAACGCAACGCGAACTCCTCACACACCATCACCCGATCTTATTGCGTTACATAGGTCTTCAGGGGTCTGGACATCATTGCCCTCATTTATATATCGTCTGATGTGTGCTTTTATATTCGCTGCTTTCCGGTCCCATGACCCTTTGCCTCCTTGAGGCTCACTGAAGTCGACTCGAGCGACCTGAAAATATCAAAGCTTCCTATAAACTCATAGAACTACAAAAAAGTAAAACACGAAATGATCAGAACTAAGTGTTTCTAAATCTCGAAATTGATCGGCCATACCTATGTATGACTGATTATGTATGAAACTCATTCTTAGAATTTCTTTGAATAATTTTATATTATTGATAACGATCATCATTATCAGCATCATCATCATCATTATCATCATCATCATCCTCATCATCTCCATCCATCCAACCATCCATTCATCAATCCTCAGGATCCCAGGGGTAAAACTCTGTCGCTCGTTTCGTTGGGAGCGAGAAACGCGCGACAGCATTTACCTCTGGGTTCCCAAGAATGATGAAAATCATAATAATCACGATTATGATAATCAAGTATTACTTCTATAGCGCTGCTTCCATAAATGCATCTTACAATCAATATAGGGATAAAAATGAAATTACCTTAATGCCGGTTGCCTCTTCCATAAKKTGACATGCTATTAGCAAAGGGACGCTATGATAGCAACCGGCGTTGTCATGGCRAAAATATGCTGTAGCAATTTCRGGGTTTTCGGTTTTGATAGTGCGCAGTGTGTGCTCCATGATAGCTATTACAGAGTCCGTGTCCTGAGTGCAGTTCTTTGCTACATGGACGAAAGCTTGCTGTTGTAGGTCTCCGGAGGAGGTCTTGCGACTGGYAACRGATACGTGCCATGAAATCCCTCGCTTCCCGAACCAGTCGGACTGAGTTTCCCTGTACTTCTGTGGGAGGAATTTCATGGCCCAATCCTCTGTGACCATAACTTCTTGGGGGGTTAGCTCGTTCATGATTGAGTGCCGAGGTTTGTCTTGCTGAACAAATCGTACCTCATGAGATTTCCAGGCGAATATAGCTTCCATGGCTTGGTTGCATCTGAAAGTGATGTCATCCCAATGATCAACGGATGGGAGTATACTCTCACTCTGAGCTACAACGTTCTTGATTTCATTAAGAACCGTCTTTAACTCTTTGCACGATGAGCAAGACAACTCATGCTGGTGCTGGCATGCTTTGGCAAAAGGATCTTTTTTGGGATCTTTCTTCGGATCTTTCTTCGGATCTTTCTTCGGATCTTTCTTCGGACTACTTAGGGCGTACGCCAGGCAGTGGTCAGGTACTTGATTTGCATCTGTTATATGAACCTAAAGAAGAGATCATTCTGAGTTAGCTGTTTGTCAAACATTTACCAACAAATGGGAACTATTAGATATTTCTATTATTTTTACAAAACGTGGATTAACATAAGTTACGTATACCTTGAAGTCTGACTTGATATACTGTTTGCCTTCCCGTAGAGCTCTCTCACAGTTTGCTGCCCATTCACGCCCACGGGCCGGTTCTACCTGCGTCACAATCTTGCTCAGGTCATCGAACGCTTTAGCACCATCTGCGTGGTAATAATCTAGACCCTGTAACGACTTTCTTTCTGTCGCMGCACATGCCGATAAAACGCGCCTCATTGTCGCTTCACTGAATGGCTTGAAGGCCGTCTCTTCACAGTACTGAATATACTGTGCGCATATCCGAGATGTGATCAGTGAACGAATTACATTGGGTGTCTCCAGAACTTCTCCATTGGATAGTTTTAAATATCTCTGCCCAAATGGCAGGTCTTGCACAATATGGGGGCTAGTGATAAAGGATAGGAAACTGTGTAGCTGCCCTTCATCAACGCGAATTCGATGAACACGGTTGGTTGACACAGGGACGCCTCGTCCGTATTGTAAGTTGTGAACACGAGCCATCTTCCAGCGATATTCTGTCAGTCTGGGTATATATTGACGGATGTCATTAAGCGACAGTAAATCTGCCATGATTGAAGTGTGTGTAAGTGTGTGGTCAGTCTGGGTATATATTGACGGATGTCATTAAGCGACAGTAAATCTGCCATGATTGACAGAACTTGTCGTTTTGTTTCCCAGCTCATTGCGTACTGGTATGTCTCTGCTAAAGCTGAAACGTACTTTTCTTCTGCATGGGGCTTAACTCCAAGAACTTGATCGACTTTCCTGGATTCTTGAACAGCCCTCCAAAGGCTACCTGCATCTCCTGGTGTAATTACATCTAGGGCTGCCACGATTACATTTGTAGCCTTGRAAACATGCGTTTTTTGCGTTCGGCTACTCATGGCCTCCCAAGCTTTTTTAGGCGGACCAACAAGCGTGTCCTGCATACCACTGGTGATCAAGAACTCGTTGAGCTTCTTTCGGCGCACTAAAGCTTGATTTGATGTTTCATCGGACAATTGTTCTTCAGACGATTCTGAGCTCAATCCACCTTCTATTTCGGTGACAACCACACTCGGATCCCGGCTTTGATCATTATCGATTTCAAGTTGGCTAAATGCTTCTGTCAACGAGTCGCCAGTGTCGCTACTTTCTTTGTCAGTTTCCTACATGAGAGAGGAAAAGGTGTAAAATAAGTATGGATAACKCGAAATTCAACTGTCTATTAAAAYATGTGCTGCTAACCTTGTTATAGTCAGAGCTGAAGATATTGTTAGTCTTTGACTCAGAAAGACTCTCGGCAGAGGGGAGAGAAGGAATCTCGGCTGATACTTGAAATGGGTTTTCTGTAGTTGGTATCTCAGCAGTTGTTTGARAAGGCTGCTCAGCTTTGTCAATTTTTTCTCTGCAGCGCCTGCAGATAGCTATAAAAATAAATCGATATTTTACTAAATATACAAAAAAGCATAATATATTAGGGGCGTAGCGAGCTCTCGATTATAGAGGGCATTTTTTCCTATTTTCCTGCCAAATCTGTGTCGAAAGCAAACTTTTGGGAGACACATCCCCTCCCCCCGGGGCCCCCCCCCCTCCCTGTCTCCGCGAGTGATATAGAAATTCCATACTTCCTTTTAGTGTAAATACCTTTTTTCATATTCATAGCTTTTTGCATAATCACATCACATACGTACGTGAGCCAACAGGCACAAGTTGACCAGTAATTTCATAAAACCGTCTTGACTGGCTGGATGACAGCCCTCTGTCTCCCTTGCAACCTTTCTTGTGRGCTGCCCAAGTGACTGGAATGGTACAGTTTCGTCTGTTGCAGCGCCAACGAATCCCATATGCATCTCTGTGCCGAGGGCAGACTGTGATGTCCAGGTATTCGTGGTATGTACCAAACAGTCCTGCACAAATAGCAGAACACGTTTTTCACTTCAAACATTTTTAAAATTTTCTTAACAGGTTACTTGAGCTTGGCCTATAAGGGTGTGTGGATAGGTATGCGTTTTATTCAAATCCACCTAAATTGGATCCTGTATAAACGCTGCGGGTTTGCCTTTCAGCCGTACGTGTATGGCTTTCTCACATTTTCGAAGCGAAACACATTCTACATTAGCGGGGTTATCTAGAGGTCCGCCGCATATTCCACCAACATGAGCAAATAAACCACACGAAGCCATCCGACTGTTCTTGATAATATCTAGAGAAATACACCAATATATTTCTCAGTTCAGAAAGAGTTTTTGGCCTGTTTTTGGCCTGTATATTTTAGTGGCCCTCCCTTTCCTTATATATAAAACAATTTGGCCCTCCCTTAAATACTTGCACAATTCTTTCTGCAGGCCCTCCCTTTTAGCCTGCATGAAAAATAAGACAGACAGACAGACAGACTTTTTTATTCGGTATCGAGTATTAGAAAATGCATGGACATTTTACCCGAATAAACATTAACGTATGAAGGCTATAATTGTTGATTTATAGTAGTTTTTCTTATGTATAATATATTCACCTATTTAACCTATTTAGTACGATTACTATTTATTGCCTAGTCTGGGTAAGAAGACCACATACTATATGAATTCTGTATTGTATGTGATCTTTTTATAAAGCAGTTGTGGACATATTTTGCTACTGCAACTGCTAACATTTTGGGCGGACTTATAAATAACAGAAACAACTCGTTCTCATTTAACAAAAGAGAATCATTGTTTATGTTATTTATGTCTTTGAAGAGTTCTTCCCTTAGATTTGAATATAATGTACAGTGAAGAAGGAAGTGCCTCTCATCTTCTACACTATCTGGGCAATKGAAGCATCTCCTTTCTTCTGGTTTTTTAAGTATTCCCTTGAATGCCTTCAATTTTCGATTTCAAGGTCGTGATTACTAATTCTCAAT